AAATATAAAGGTCGACATTTTCTGCTACCTTTTTATAAAAAAAAGTGCAAAATGTTTTCGAAAGTATACTTCTTTTTTGTCATGTTGTTTCATTTATAGACATGGTAGAAACAATAAACTATATAGAATCTCGAAGAGTAGAAGAAGCTCTATCTTTTGGTAAAAAAAAGTTTTGTTTCAGTCCCCTTCTATCGAAGAGAAATATGGATCAACATTTTGTGCCATTACTTTTGCATCGTATGTTACTTAAAACAGCATCGTATGAACATAACTTCGAAAAATAGTTCGGTTCCAAAGTCTATCTAAAGAGTAGTTAATATTTTAGTGAATAGAATTACGTCTATCCGAGATCGGACGCGTCCAATCTCAGATTCAGTATTGGCCTAGGCCAATCTGAGATCGGACGTAATCTTAGTTTGGACGCTGACATATATATATAGACTCTATAGCCTTATACTCTTGTAGTATTACTTCTTATAGCCTCATTCCGTTATTCCCTATCTCGTAGATCCCATGCAGCCTCATCAACTTATCCACTATATCCTTATCTCCTTATACTCTTTTAGCTTTATCGCTTATGCCCCTGTGGTCTTAGTCTCCTATTCCTTTTACCCTCATATCCTTATCCCCTTACCAGCTTATAGCCTCATAGTCCTGAAGTCTTGTTCCCTTATCCTCTACCTCCCTTATAGTCTGATAGCCCTTGAGGACTTATGAGTACTCTCATATGATAGCCCTTGTGGACCTATGGATACCCCATATAATAGTTCTTGAGGACCTATGGGCACCTCCATATAATAGCCTTTGACGACCTATGAGTACCCTATATAATAGCTCTTGAGGACCTGTAGGTACCCTCATATAATAGCCCATGAGGACCTATGAGTCCCCAGTAGCCCTTGGCGCCTTCCGCTTATAGCCTTATTTGACCTTTAACCTTTGACCCGGCACAAAGATACAGACAGACACTGAACATTATATATATAATAGATTCTGGCAAAAGCTTCGGAAAGTTTTTTTTTAATTTTTTCAAGATTTATTTTGTATATAACCTGAGATTCAGACCATGAAACTAACTAGATTTCGAATTTTATTTTCAGACGAAGCTTGAAAAATTAGCAAAGTAGGATGTTAACTATCTTGAGGGTCGAAGAGGCTTTTTCTTACAACAGGCGGAAGTTAATTATAAAAATAGAGATTATCGACCCTCAGTATACTCGTATCATAGCTAAAAAGTATTACTTTGCTCTTCTTTCAGAATTACGCAATGTCGTTCGTTTTCCTGCCTTGTAAAAAAACCGAAACATAGGAATATCGATCTGAAATTTTGCTCATAAGTAGATTTCATATTCTTAACTTATCCTAAAAATTTCACTCAGAATGAATGCTTTCTTGTTGAGATATTTGATACCTACAAAAATCAGCTACATTTTACAAAAAATTGCTAAAAATCGACTTCTCTTCAACATTTTATATTTCGAGAAGGAAACAACCATTGTTGCTGAAAATTTTGGGACACTCTAAATATCGTTAGAATTATGTATGAGCAATATTTCGAATTAAAATTTCTTTATTCAGAGTCAAGGAATTCTAGGAACCGAAAAAACTCTAGAAGTTTAAGCCACTCAAGAAAGTGTAGGAAGCCAGGGGGTCATAGGAATCCAAGAAACTCTAGGAAATCAAGAAATTCCGAAAACCTAATAGGCATGCACAGAATCTGAACGTTGGAGTTCGGTGAGTTCGGCTCGAATTCGATAAGGAATGTATCCATTTTCAGTTGATTAATGGGATGGGGTAGAAGTAAACCAAAAGAAAGGCTTTACGGCTGGTTGTGATAGGTCTACAATTAACCAAGTATATGTCCCAAAGAACTGAAAGGCTGCAGACTTTCTAAAAAAAAGTTAACGGTATTCGAAAATATTCAATCCCGAACCCGAACGCTGGGACCAAACCCAAACCTGAACCGTTCTGTCCTTACTCCAAACTGAAGTTCGGTTTCGCTGCATGCCTAGAACTCAAGGAATTCAACAAACTTCAGACACTCTGATAACTCAAGAAAACCAAGAGAATTTAGGAAACCAATGTATCCAAGGAATTCTGAAAACTCAAGGAAGTTTAGGAACCCAAAAGATTCATGGAACCGAAGGAACTCAGGGAATCTTAGGAGCACAAGGCATCCAGAGAACTCAAGTGAATCTGATGAAGCCAAGAAAGTCTAGAAGTTTTCAGCTACCGTTGCTCAAAAGACAGCGGCTCCAGTGACTACTGCTTTCATGACTTCGCGAGGTTGGTAGCGGAACTTTGAAAGTAGAGACAAGTGTGTGAGGGTGAGGATGGCTGGAGGGATAACTTGAGAGTAGCATGGAGAAGTTACTGTTACCAGCCATTTACGCTACTAAATGATGGAAAATTTATGAGTTTGAATTTTTCCTCACGGCCAGGATATTTCTCGGAAGTAATGACTTTTTATAAAGTTCGACATAGAATTTTTAGCTTTCCTAGAGTTCTTTGAGTTCCTTGGGTCTCTTTTCAGTTGCGGCTGATGTCTGCTAGTTTTTTATTGATGTTTGAGTTCTGAATTCCTCAATAGTTCAAATTTACGGGAACCGCACACATCTCCTGAAATTCCATGACTACACGCTTCTTTCGGGATACTGTCGATTCCTCAGGAAAAAAAGATGATTCCTGACAAAATTCCGACTGAATTTGTCAAGGATCCAGCACGAAAAAACCAACGATTTTCCCTAGGATACTTTAGTTTTAAATGTTAATATCATTTATATTAAAAACCAATAAATTTCAAATGACATATCATTTTATTGTCTAAATAGGATTTAGAAAATAGATGAGTATATGTTTACAGTATCGAAATACTATTAATAATAAACTGTACAATGATCGTAGCAATTATATTTCATACTTATCTCAATATTAAATCACTTAAACATTTTACTTTATTTAGAAAAAAAAGCATAAATGACTTACCCGAAGCTCCTTGATTTGATGTTGTTGAAGCTCGACGAATTTCATTCATAGATGATGCCAATGGTTCTTTATTTGATGTTGTTGAAGCTCGACGCATTTCATTCGTAGTTGATGGCAATGGTTCTTTATTTGATCCTATTGAAACTCGACGCATTTCATTCATAGTTGATGCCAATGGTTCTTTATTTGATCCCATTGAAGCTCGACGCATTTCATTCGTAGTTGATGCCAATGGTTCTCTATTTGATGGTATTGAAGCCCGACGCATTTCACTCATAGTTGATGTCAATGGTTTATCGTCGTTATTATCAGGAAGTCGTTTACGTGAAGGATCAATGTCACTAAAACGATTCGTTATATATTTATTTAATATGTTGTTAAATGTTGATAAAATGATGATAGTTAAGAATGTGAAGCAATAACTTAAGGCGATGCAATGTATTTATTATTCGATATGCAAATCTATAAAATTGAACGAGGTAGTTTTCTTGTTTTGACTTTAACTTTTGCTTTTTTCTTCCGAAACATGAATGAAATGAAAATTTTCTTTTAATGGTATTTTGCTTCTGTTCGCAATTAGTTGAAGTAAAACGTATAGGATTGAATACGTTTTTTTATTATTCAAGATAGAAGAATTCTTTTTTTTCTTCTTTTCATCCTATTCAAATATTAATGTTCTGTTTGATGAAATGGAATTTAATTCTGCACAAAACAATACCGTTGCGATAGTAGCAAAAGAAAAAAAAAAATTTTCTCGTTCAATAAAAAACAAAGATGTATGAAAAAACATTTCATGAAATACGAATCGGTTGAAACACTAAAAAATTCATAAGCATAATAAAAGAATTGTTTTTAATTTTGTTATAAATTTCAAGAAGAAAACAATACCAAGATTTTTACTTGTTGGATAGATGATATTCTGATTGTCTCTAAAAGACTTGTAGAAAAAAAATAAGAAGATCAATTCTAAGTTTGTTGAGAAATGTAAATTTAACAAAAATATTTAAGAAATTATTTAGGTGATTTATTATAATTGAAAAATCTATCGAAATAAATATTAAAATAGCGATTTCATAAACATTGATATTAATTGTAGAATGTTTTTCTCTTGTATTTGAAAATAACATAAGTAAGAAATATTTGATATTTCTGACTAATAGAATATCCTTATTAAATTAGATTTTCAAAAGATTTATTTTTTGTTTGATTTTTTTTTCAAAAATGAAAATCTAATAAATTTCTTTTGAATGTAATAGAACAATAATTGATAACAAAATCCTTTTTTTTATGAATATCAAAGAATCCAAAAAAATGATGTAAACAATAAAATCGAAATGAAAAGGAATATTGTGATATAATCGATCATTAATCTAAATTTGAATAATAGAATTTTAATTAATAAATATTTGATATTATTATTTATCTAGAAAGTTTTTTATTTGATTTATTTCTAATAAATGGAGTTATTGAGGGTGTGGGTATGGGCGTGGTTGTCAGTCTTCATTTCACCCACACCCACATCCTATATATATATGTTGAATGTTCTATTTTAATGTTAACCATCAACTATATACAGGATAAACTAGAATAATATCTGCAATCTGATAAGACCGTTAAGGAAGATGTTCTGTTTCCGAAGTTCTTTGAGGCAGAAATAAATGGATAATACACTATGAGTAGAATCCATGTTGGAAAGAAAAAGGAGTTTGATATACCTACACTTCCATAGGACCGGCATATAGAGATAAGGTTAATTTATAAATTATGATTATTTCTTGTTCAAGAGATATTTTTCGAATGTATTTCAGCGATAATCATATATTAAATTTGAAATAGTTTCTTCTATCGCTTTACGATCACATCGAAATGAATAATTAACCAATTATCTTCCGAATATGAATACTTCTATTTTTTCTATTCATTATTCATAGAGGAGAGAACGTTATACACGTGTACATATATCCTTTTTCCTCGCTCGTTCTCTATCAGTATCATCGTCATCTACTAATTCAAACATGGGACGAAAAAAACGGCAACAAAACAAAAATGTTGACGGTTATACTAACACTAAAAAACAAAAATTGTCACATGAAAGTAATAATTAATATTTATATTCAATAAATCTTATTTTCTTTTTAGTAGAAGCAACTAATAGAAACAAGTGAGTCATATTTGATCATCTAATTCTTATCTTTTATATTTCATCTAGATCTCGTTTTGAAGATTTAGCAAATGAAATTATATATGAAATATTTGAATATCTCGATGTTTATCATGTTTATCAAGGATTCTTTTATCTTAACATACGATTTCAAAATTTACTTATCAATACCAATCTTCCTATTCAAATCAATATTCCAACAATGTCAAAAACAAATTTTGAACTTTATCATCAAAATATGATTAAACCAAATAAACATCGAATAGATCTTCTTCATTTATCAAATCCTTTTACTGTTGATATTATTTTCTCACCACCACGTCTAATTTTACAATTTATTCAATTAGAAACATTAATTCTTGATAATATTGATGCAAAATATCTTCATAACATTCTCAAACATTCCATTCTTTTACCAAAACTCTATTCATTAGTTCTTACACCTATTGATTATGTCCAAGATCTAAGTACTCTTTTCATTTATATATTTCGTTTACCGAAATTAAAGTCTTGCAAATTTACATATCGAACAAAAGATGATGAAGAACTATTGCCGATTTTTTTAGCTGATTTAAAACATAGTTCGATTGAATATCTTGTAATAAACAGTCGTTTTCCATTTGATTCCTTAAGTGATTTCTTTTTTTGTCTTTCAAATCTTCGTTATTTATCAATTAATTGTCTTGTGGGATCTCGTCATAGTGATATTCATAATTATCCTATTGTATTAAAACATTTAAAACATGTTTCAATGAAACTTGATTATATACATTTCAATCTATTAAAAAAATTAATTAAACATTTTTTTCGTCATGTCGAAGTTTTACGTCTTACAACACAATTTTATCACGCATATTTAAATGCTAAACGATGGCAAGAATTAATTCAAACTCATATGCCAAATTTACGTATTTTCGATATACATCATGAGGATTCTATAGAAGATAATCATATATTGTATCATAATTTAATGGAAGAATTTAATTCATTATTTTGGATTGAACGACAATGGTTTTTTGCTCATCAACATGATTGGCAACAGACATTAGATAGTGGAATATTTTATTCAACAAATCCATATCGGTAGAACAATATTGAATATTATTTCTATAAATGATGTTTGTTTTTCTCGTTTAGAAGAAAAGATTATACATTTTATTGGGAATTAGATCAACAATTGTGTCCACATATTCAAGAAAATAATTTAAATTCAGTTAAACATGTTCATATTTGTAGTAAACAAGCTAGAAATAATTGTGTCAATTATTTTCCAAATGTAATCGAATTAACAATTAAACATTTTTTTCAAACATCAGATCATTCAATTTCAATAACTTTGAATCGAATGATTCCTTTAAAACAATTGACTAAATTAGTTATTGAATCTTATGATTTTCCTTTTGAAGAAATTGTTAAATTATTATATTTTACACCTAATTTACATACATTAAAATTAGATTTACTTCCTCTTTATAAAACAAATTTAAAAGTATTTCAACAAAATGAAATTTTTCAATATGTATCAAATAGAAATCATATTCGAAATTTAGATCTTCGTCATTGGTGTACATTAAAACATTTTCGATTGATTATGAATTTATTTTCACAAGTTGAATATCTTAAAACCGGAATAGAAAGAAAAGAAATTCAAAAAATTATAGAATTTTTATTTTCAAAAACGAATAATAAAACGCATCATTTATTCTTTTTGTGTATTTCTCCAACACCTAAAATATGTTTACAAGAATTAAAAGATTTAATTCAATCAGAAAATTTACTTGATCATTATTCTATTAAATATATTAAGCGGGATTTGTATTTATGGTGGTAGACATTTTCTTGTTTAGGATATGTCTTTTTCTTGTATATAGTTAGTGAATATTTTGAAATAAACAGAGGCATAAAACTTGAATACAGTTTTCAATAATCTCGACTAATATGATAGAAGATCGAAAGATAAATGTATTGTTCAAAAGTTCATGTTTAATACAGTGAAGTAGTTCCTGATCATCATATCGTGGCATTGGCGCTGAGAGTGTCAGTGTTCCTCGATACGTGGATTGTCGCTTTCATCTTGATTTCTTTGCGACGCTCAGCAAATAATAATTAGTAGGATAAATACAGCGACTAAAATCAGGCAATCATTAGTTTTACCCATTGTGATTATTGATACTCGATGGTTTGATGGAGAATCTCCTTTGATAAGATATACAAATGATTTTGATGTACACTTGTGGAAAAAAATATGTACGAAAATCAATGAGTCATATCCGCAATCACTTGCTTTCGTAATACAAAGTGAGGCGTGCTCGATTGAGAAAAAGAAAGCTCAAAAGCGTTGGTCTCTGTATGTGTCATCATCATCAGATTAGGAAAAAAACATACACGCCGCTAGTAAGACATCGTTGATTTTTCTGGACGCATTTACCCGTAGATATTTTTTCTTTCCTCTTCGACTCAAAAGGAAGAAAATATTTTGATGAAAAATTGGTATCTTTTTTGATTCATGTATCAATCAACAAGTGTACTAACGGTATAAATCATCAATTGTGCTCCGAAGTTTGAGAAATATTGTCCACTCTTTGTAAAACAACACTTTATCTAATTCTTCAACTTTGATTAACAAATGAATTCATGGGAAGTGTACCACTTTCTGGAAAAACTGCAAAGCTTTTTTCCGATTTGGAACATCCGGCAAGGTAGTATACAGTCGGAAATGATCTGTAAGTGGGAAGAAAAATAATTTTGATACTTAAAGTTTAACTATCAAAGTTTTTTTCTTCCTGCCTACTAGAGAGCTGCGGGTTCATGTTTTTTTGGACCCGGACCTGGGCCCGGGAAAAGCGAAATTTTCAGACCCGGACCCAACCCGGACCCGGTCGAGTTTAGACCCGGACCCGGCTCGGTCCAGACCCGATCCTTTTTTCACCAATATTTGGCACCTTCTGTGTACATGAACAGAAAAGGGAACACTATTTTAACTCTTCATTGGCCACTTTAAAGATAAAATGAGTGTAAAATCATTTCTGACTGTTTCTTTTCAATTTTGTTGACTTCAATTGTTGTTGTTATACATTTCCATTCGTAACTTAATGCAGACCGGGTCTGACTTTCCTCTCAGGTATAGACCCGGACCCGGATCCGGGAAAAGCTAAATTTTCAGACCCGGACCCGGTCGGGTCCGGGTCCGGGTCTGGAAGGACCCGCAGCTCTCTAGTAGAAAATAATGTTACAAAAATCATATTTAATTGTTTACATTGATATTGTTCACTTAATACTTCAAAACCAGTATGAAATGTTGATCCTGTTGTTATGACGGAATAAATGTGAAGAAAACGATATCAATGAACATTAGATGATAACTTATAGTGTGAAATGTAACACATGAGTAAGAAATTTAAATCTTATTGAGTAAAAATAGAAAATTAGAATCATACTAATTACAATGAAGATCTGTCGTAATAAAACTATAACTAATAAGTTTGGTCATATATGTTAGCTAATCTGAATTATGGGTAAGAGTACAATACTAGTGCATGTTTTAGTTTTGGTTATTAGAATTTTATTTAGCTAATGCTTTTAGTGTAACTTCGAAAAACTAGAAATGTCAAGAGAGAAAAACGAAGAGATTCTAATGAGTTGTATTGCATTGAAAGAACCTCTGAATACGTAAGAATTCTGTTGCGAACCAATACATTTTTGAGAAATTCATTCAAATTGTTGCATCTCACTATGCATTGAATGATGCAAGCCAAACGATATTGTTGCAAGGGTTTAGATTATATGTCGATAATACCTTTTTAATGGAAAGAATACAACTGATAGTTGGAGGTTGAGTGAGTCAATGAGATTTATTTATTACGAAGATATATCTAGTATGTGTGAATGAAGGTAAGAGTCTCAGCTATATCTACAACTTATATCAAGCAATGAAGCATATGTGAATTGTTAATAGGAATAAGATGAATTTTCTAATCGAGCCCAATCAAAAAATATATATTTCATTTCTATATTCTTTTTATATACATGTTTTGTTATATAAAAAAGATTAGAAAGAAAAACTTGAACAATTTAAAATTCATGAGTAAATGATATTGAATCAATTCTGAATTCACACTACTTTTGTTGGATGGCAACTAATGAAATTTTGATTTGTATATAACAGTATGATTACAGTTGAAACTTACAAGGAACTTGTTCAGTTGCTTTCTTATTAAAATTGGACTAAACTAGAATTTGTAAAATATGTCCATTTTTTAGAGATTACGTGTTTTCGGAAAAGTCATCTTTTCGAAATTTGATCTGAAATTTTTGTGCGTAAAAAGAATTCAACTAGAGAGAGTTTCAAAAAACTAGATCCTCTGGAAAAAAATTCTTTTCGAGTTTATGTTAGAACTCTATTTAGTATCTATAGATAAAAAATTATTAAAATCGGAAGAAGAAGATATTTGAGAAGGTTCCACATCGTTATCAATAGCAATACCAACTTTCCTCACATGAGCTAAAATACTTTTGCATCTTCATCTTTTCTTTACTCTTATTATTGTCTATTCATAAATCTTCAATAACTTGACAACAAGACCATCAAATTGTGATTGAATTCATATTATTCTTTTTTTTTCTTTAACAGTTAAATATACAAGACGATCAGCATAAAATTTAAAATCACGGCGACATGTTGTACGATAATATAAAAATGTATGAAGTTCTCCTAATTGTTTATGACATATTTATTCATTTATACCATTTTCTTCTGTCGATAGGTTATCAATTAAATTATTAATATTGTTTTCTACTTTAGTCATTTATAAAAGGAATTCAACAACAAGAACAAAAAAAGATGAATTTTCAATTTGCTGGCATGAATAAATTTTCAAAGGAATTCTTTTTTAATTTCCTAAGTACGAAAAACTAAATGTCTTAATGCAATAAGAATATTAATGGATGAACCGATTAATGAACATTTTGCATGTGCTGGCATATCATCTTTACCTTCATCTAAATGATTATAAGCTTTATCTTCCAGTACAAGTTTATTAAATATTGTTTCGTATTTATTGTAAAATTTCATTTGTTACTAAATAAAAACCACAGTTCTTTTGGTGATAATCTTAGAACTTTTTGATAATTTGCCATCTATAAGCTAAAGATAAACTGAAAGAATTTCACTTAGCAAAAAAAAACCTTTCATATACATATCAAGATGATCATAGTAGTCAAATATAGCTGATTTGTAAAAAAAAACTGAAAACAGTTCACAAAGTTCGTCGATCAGTAAAAACACGTACAATCGAATCGAAATCAGTAACTACAAGAATTTTCAATAAAATAAACAAAAAAATTACTAGAAATTTTACTTGAATAATCTTTTGATTTTCAAAATCTTTATAAACATATTACATTAATATATCACGTAATAGCACATGTATGCATTGGCAGCATTTGAAATTTCAGTTGGTTTTATTTTCATTGTTGTTAATAATGCGATATGAACTAGTTTTATCTATAAAAAAATATATTTATTTAATTAAAATTATTTGTATTATCCATTCAATTGTAAAACAATAAAATGCATTCTATTTTTAATTATATATTAAAATCTATTTAATATGTTCGTCTGTCTCTATAGATTTTTCATAATTAAAATAATTTTTTCTATGCAAAAATAAATTTATAAGGTTTCTAGTAATTTGTATTTCGTAACCGAGAGGTTTGCCCTAAAATGAGAACAAAAGAGATCAATCGATAGAGAATTTCAAGTTTTGTCAGTTTCTACAAAACGTTTTTGCTTTCGATACTGATCTTTATCTTCAAAACCTCATCAATTTTCGGGTGTGGATAGGTGCCAGTCAAGAGGGAAAAAGCGAGACTTCAAGTATTTCACTCGTCCTTCAGAAATACTTGAAGTCTTGCTTTTTCCCCCTTTCCCACATTCCACAACTCATAGCCCACACCCTACACTTACACACCCATACGAATACCTCTCCCATTTCTGACTGTTTCTGGACACTCCTGAGTTTAATGACAAAAATGAAGGAATTTCGTTTAAATCGAATAGGACTTGTTGACAAGTCAAAGTTTTTTTTGTTTCTGTCGATCAATGACTATGAGAATTCGATTCACTTTAATAGTTCTTTTTTATAGGTGGTGATTTATGTAGACAAAAGAATAATTACTTCACATCGATATACACACGCAATTTCTCATCGCCAATGTGAAACTTCTCAAAATCTTGCTTTGTAATATCTTCGTGGTTGGAGAGTCAAATGATAACGAAAAAAGTCACTTTTTCACACTTTGTTGGTTTTTTCATCACGTAGACGGTTTTCTTTGAAAGTGATGACAATACAAACATTATCGAAAGCTTCTAGATAAATAAATGAAAAATTTCATATTTTTTATTTGATCTTTCAATTTATTAAAAACTCTGTTGACAACTCAAACTTAATTAACTGCACCTGAAGAAAAGATGACTAATGTGCTTTAAGAAGTTTCAGATATGCCGAGAGATTGACAATGAAATTATCAAAAGCATAGTGCGATATTGAATTTTATGTATGTGCCTCGTTTATTGTTTAATTCCTAAATTCGTTAGGTTTAAATTAACAAATAAACATCTTGCTTCATTTCCTCAACAGAAGAAATTTCAACAACAACTGCTTTCTATTGAATTGTATTGAAATTAATGAAGTTTTGATCATATTTTCATCTCATCATTGTCATAGAAATAAGTTACATCTAAATGACAAAGAACAGGCAAAAAGTAACTAGAATCAAGAATTTTCATGAGATGAAAATTTCGATTCTCCTTGGTGCTGCAGACATTTACAT